GGCCCGACCGCTGTCCCTCCCCCCCCCGTTCTCTCCTTCCCGCCCGTCGTGCACCCGGCCATGCTCCGGCATTCCCTGCTGAGGTGCGTATCATCCCTGACTGCACACCCCCCCCCCCCCCCCCCCCGCCGCTGCTTCTCCCCATGTGGGTCTGCGCGCCTCTCATCCGCTGACTCTTGCGCCCGTTGCCCTCTGCCCCGGTTGCCCTCCGCCCCGTCCCCCAGGCTTTCGGCTCTCCCCGGGCGAGTCGCTCCCCAGCTCCGGCACGCGCCGCGGGCAGCCGACATCCTTTCCCCCCCGCTGGCGGGGGCCGGCCCTCGGGCCGGGGCTTGGTCCGCTGGCGGGGCCTTCCCCGGCGCGCGGGCTTTCTACGCGTCGGCCCTGGCCCAGCCGGCCCCGGTCCCGTCCTCCGAGGAGCCCGCGGCCCCGGCCGGCGGCGTGGTCTTGGACAAGCCGTCGGTCGAGTCGCTGGTGGCCGCCGCCTCGCGCGAGATCCACCCCTACGACAAGATGTCCTTCATCGGCTCGCAGCCGCCCCTCTCCGGGCCGCTCTGCAGCTCGGACACCGTCTGGTCGCAGGCGCCGCGCGTCAACGGCCTCCGGGACCTGGTCTCCACCTACATGGAGCTGACCAAGTTCCGTCTGTCCATCTTCGTCACCCTGTCGGTGTCGCTCGGGGCGCTTACCTGCCCGGCCCTGGCCATCGATGCGACCACCCTGGCTGCCACCTCGCTCGGGACCTTCCTCTGCGTGTCGAGCGCCAACTCGTGCGTGCCCTTGCCCGCCTCGCTGCGCCTCCCCCTGGCAGATGGTCGCCTCGCCACTCTCGCGCCCCTCCTGACATGTGTTTCCCTTGCCCCGGCGCAGTTTCAACCAGCTCCTCGAGTACACCTATGACTCCCAGATGAAGCGCACCAGCAACCGGCCGCTCGCCATCCGGAAGATCTCCCCCGGCCACACGGCTTCTTATGGTGTTGGTGCGCCCTTGCTGCTGCCCCCCCCCGCCAGGTTCCCCCGAGTTCCGGCCGCTGACTGTCTCGTCCTCCGCATCTCCCTGAAGCCGCCGGTCTCCTTGGCGGAGCCATGCTCAGCGCCATTAACCCGCTGACCGCGGCCCTCGGCGTCGGCAACATCCTCCTCTACTCCGGTCTCTACACCTACATGAAGCGGACATCCCCCTTCAACACGCACGTTGGTGCGGTGGTCGGTGCTATTCCCCCGCTGATGGTGCGTCCCCGCCGCCCCCGACGCTTCGCCATCCTCCCCGCCTCCCCGGCAGGGCCACTCACCCCCCTCTCCTTGCCTGCCTCTCTCTCTCTCTCTCTCTGCCCCTTCCCCCCCCGGTTCAGGGCTACACCGCCCTCAGCAACGCGCCGCTGGAGCTCTCCGCCTACTCGATGTCGGCGTACTCCTTCCTGCTGCTGTACCTTTGGCAGTTCCCCCACTTCCACGCCCTCAGCCATGGAATTGTCACGGACTACACGCGTGCCGGCTATCAGATGCTCACCACCTTCGACATGCGCAAGGCCTCCCGGTCCATCATGTACAGCTCCGCCGTGCGTATCCCCTGCCCCCCATCGGTGTTGGTGTTCCTCATCGCCGGCGTCTGCCATCCCTCCCCTGGTTATGCACCGGATCACTGATCCCCCCCCCCCCCCCCCCCCACCTGTCGCTGTCCC